TGACTTTATTCTAGTAAACTGGTAACTTTATTCTAGTAAACTGGTAACTTTATTCTAGTAAACTGGTAACTTTATTCTAGTAAACTGGTAACTTTATTCTAGTAAACTGGTAACTTTATTCTAGTAAACTGGTAACTTTATTCTAGTAAACTGGTAACTTTATTCTAGTAAACTGGTAACTTTATTCTAGTAAACTGGTAACTTTATTCTAGTAAACTGGTAACTTTATTCTAGTAAACTGGTAACTTTATTCTAGTAAACTGGTAACTTTATTCTAGTAAACTGGTAACTTTATTCTAGTGAACTACTGACTTTATTCTAGTAAACTAGTGACTTTATTCTAGTAAACTAATGACTTTATTCTAGTAAACTAGTGACTTTATTCTAGTAAACTAATGACTTTATTCTAGTGAACTACTGACTTTATTCTAGTAAACTAGTGACTTTATTCTAGTAAACTAATGACTTTATTCTAGTAAACTAGTGACTTTATTCTAGTAAACTAATGACTTTATTCTAGTAAACTAGTGACTTTATTCTAGTAAACTCGTATCTTTATTCTAGTAAACTCGTATGACTTTTTTGTATTAAACTTATTGATTTATTCCAGTAATCTTATGATTTTATTTGCGTACATTTACAACTTTATTTGCGTACATTTACAACTTTAGTCTAGTAAATTCAGGTTTTTTTCCTCTTACAGTGGCACTTATATTTCGTACAACTTTATTCTCATTAACTTATGCCTTAATCCTCAATGTGAACTCCTGTTCCTATACGTCTTTTTAACAGGTACAAAACGGCAGTGCATCAGTGTGAGGTTTGCAAGAAAGAATTTAAAGGAAAGTCCAGTCTGGAGATGCACTTTAGGACTCACTCTGGTAAGAATACAATGACCTTAGATGATGACATATGTGGAAAAACAGAAACTAAGGCAAAAGACAACGATATCACTTCTAACAAAGCATGGCCTTCTCCCTCTTTGTTTTTAACCCGAGATTCAAATGTAGTTTCGAGGTAGTTGCCTTTTTGTAGGCCTTGCTAGCTTAAAGATCATTTTCCCTGACCCTAAAACAACATCTTGTAATGAATATGTTTTAATGCAACAGGTGAGAAACCCCACCGATGTCCAGAGTGCCACCAGACGTTCCGGATCAAAAAGACCCTGACAAAGCACATGGTGATTCACTCGGACGCCCGTCCTTTTAACTGCCCTCACTGCAGCGCCACTTTTAAAAGAAAGGACAAGCTCAAGTACCACGTGGACCACGTGCACAGCAATCGGATCACCGATCAGCCTGCCGCCTCTCACGCGGAGGACAAAACAGTCTCAGTCCCATTTCATGAAAACCCGAAGATTTATCGTACCGAATCGAAGACGGCACTCCAGAGCAGTCCTCCTCCTTTGAACATCTGCGTGCCAGTCACTCTAGTTCCTGTCCAGATTTCGGGAAGCGCACAGGGCGACATCAACTCTCCGGCGGGATCTTCTCTCTCCTCTCCAGCACAGAGTGTGGTCAACCTACAGTCACAAGGACAACAGCAGCAGAACTCAGCCTACCAGACTACAACCGAGTTAGCGTTCTTAGAGAAGTACACCCTCACCCCTCAGCCCACTAACATCATCCACCCCGTGAGGCCTGATCAGATGTTGGACCCTCGAGAACCATCCTATCTAGGGACGTTACTCGGACTGGACTCTGCTCCTTCTGTACGGAACACAGACTGAAAATAGTACAAGCTTTTTTTTTTTTTTTTTTTTTAACCAAATGTTAAACAGAAAGACTATGAAGGCTCAAGAGACGTGGATTTTAAAACATTAATGAAATCAATGACTTGCAAGAGACTCTTGGATGAGACGGTTCCAATTACAGTATGACCAAAAATGAGGATGTAGACAAAATGACCATGGATGTCCGAAATTAACTTTTTACCGATATACTGATATACTGATATTGTCCAAACAATTAATTTTCGATTTAGTGAGGCAGTGGTGGCAGTCAATTATTTTCTGCCATGCCCTCTCTTCCCCCACCCCTTACTGAAAAACTATTAATGACCTGGTAATATTTATTTATTTATCTGTACAAACAACTGCATGAGTTGCCGGCACCAGCAATCTGCATACAATCCCCTGATTATTAAAATAGATTAACAAAATGAGCTGCAACACTGCCATCTAGTGGCTTTCACTTTCATATACATACTTGTTTCCCCAAATCTATTTTTAGGGCACACATCATTTGGCCAAACCCAAGCATTGTGCTGTCAGGTTTTCATTATCTGAGGAAAAAACCAATAATGATTCTTACAGATATTACATAATCCTGCTACTATCGGCCAGCCAATATTATCGGACATCCCTAGGAATAACCACAAGATGGTAAATATGCAACAAAAGGTTGACTGTGCTCCCCACTCCCCTACTCCAACTGTGCAACTCCTTCAGTACAGCAAAATTATTAAAAATATTTAAATACTAGCTATTGTATTATTATTGTAAATATTTTCTCCTCTACTCTACATTCTCAGCAGGTATTAGTATTTACTTAGTTGTGTTGTAGAATGAGATTTTCCAAATTTGAGGATATTGAATGTAATCGAAACAACAATTCATAACTAAGAAGAAATGCTATCATATTTACCTGGTACAGCGCAAGCAGGTGCTCCCCCTGTAGGTGGGTATTCTCTGGAACTCCCATTTCCTCCCATTATCCAGAAATATGTAACTTAATAACTTAACTTAACGAAGGTGGGATTTTTGAACCAAGGGATGTATATATCAATATATATATATATATATATATATAGCTGAAATAACTGTTAACTCAAAAGCTATATGAAATTATTTTGTATTTAATTATTTATTTTTGTAGATTTTCACCAATGAGCTTTTCTGTTACAGTCACCAGAGCACGCTCTTTCTATCACAGAAAAAGTTCTAAGAGACTAAA